CTCCAAATTCTCCATAAAGTACCCAAAACTAAATTAGAATTTGATTGGGTTCATCAGCACAGGTTAAAAATGTCCAGTTTTCAGCATTCCTGTCATTTTGGAGAGCCTGTGCTGGGCCCTGCCCAGGTTCTGATGGTGGAGCCTAAGAATTTGCAAGGAGCTAAGGAGGCTCAAGGTGAAGGCTGTGTAAGTCGTTGAGAAGCAGAGCAGTGTGCTCTGGCAATGTTCTTTTTACTGGCTGCAGGGTATGCCACTATAAATCAGACCATGATTCTCTACGCAGCCTCTATTGATGACCTTTTAGGATATTTTGATATTAAGCCCATTGCTGTGATGAACATCTTTAAACCTATTCCATGCAAACGTGCAAAAGTAATGGTGCATGTTGTGAAAGATATTGCAAACCTGACCTCCAAAGAAATTGTACCATTTTATATTATTCCCAGTGATGTGTGAGATGCCACTTTCTCCACAACTCTGCTCACCCTGGGAATTAACAAACGTTTTTTTTTTCTTTTTTTTTTTGGAATTAACAAACTTTTAAAACTTGGCCAGTCTCACCAGTGAAAAAATATTCTCTCATTGTTCTTGTAATTTTCATTTCTTTAAGAAAAGTTGCATTTTTCATGTTTATTGGCCTTTTGTGTTTCTACTTTTGTAAAGTAAAAGCTCTTTATCATGGAGATTATCTGTAAAAGCTCTTTATCATGGAGATTAGTCTTTCTTTAGTTTTTGGTAAGTTTTTAATTTAATTCAATTTTTTAAAAAGATTTTATTTTTATTTTATTTTTTTATTTTTTATTTTTTTAAAGATTTCATTTATTTATTCATGAGAGACACACACAGAGGCAGAGACATAGGCCGAGGGAAAAGCAGGCCCTCCACAAGGAGCCCAATGTAGGACTTGATCCCAGACCCTGGGATCACACTCTGAGCTGAAGGCAGATGCCTATCCGCTAAGCCACCCAGATGTCCTGAGTTTTATATTTTAGGACAGTTTTAGATTTACATAAAAATTGAGATGATAATACAGAGAATTCCCATATACCCTATACTCAGTTTCCTCTATGAACATCTCTTTAAAATTTTTTTATTTATTTATTCATGAGAGACCCAGAGAGAGAGGCAGACATAGGAAGAGGGAGAAGCAGGCTGCCTGAGGGGAGTCTGATGCGGGACTCAATCCCGAGATTGGCATCACTTCCTGAGCAGACGCTCAACCGCTGAGCCACGCAGGCGTCCCTCCTTGCTTAGGTTTTAATGGTTGATAGTGGCTTACAGGGTGAGCCTCTGCAGTGTTTATTCTCCCCCAGGGTAGAGTTCAATACAATATCAGATACATGGCAGGTTAATGGGGGGTATACATGGGTATGGGTGGCATTCATTCAATGTGGTCCAAGATAGCAAATATGCTAAATAAATTGGATTCATTAATAGAGATAATCTGTGTCAGAGCATTCTGTGAAGGAAGTTTCCCAAGGATGTGATGAATTGATCACTGTTGTTGTGACTTTGGCAGGCTGGGTTTTGGCAAGAGGGCTGCATGAGGATGTTGCAGGGGTTTCAGAGGTGATCAGACAGTCTTTACACTTAGCAGGAGACAGGCACATAAATAACTCACGTACAGGCAACGCTGTGATCAAGGTTAAGCAAAGCTTCCCTGGAGCCCCGGATCTTCCATTCTAGTTAGAGGATTGGGGACAGATTCTTAGAGGCAGTGTGGTTTGAGGAGTTGAGGAGAGGTGGGCAGATTTGGGGCAGAGATGGAGGGAGGGCAGTTTAGGTCAGAGCACAGCCTGAGCAAAGGCTCCGAGGTAAGAACAGGCAGGGCATGCTTAGAGAAGGACAAACAGGTGAGACACACAGGGGCCCATACGTGTCGATGTGGAGGGGGTGGCATGATAGAGTGTGAAAGACTGGATGGAAGGGAACAGAGTGGCAGAGATTGGACTCTCAGGTGTGCAGTTGGGAGGATACTTGATATGCAGTGGGAAGACACTGACATTTTGGGGCAGGGGAGAAGCTAATAAGGTCTCGGTTGGGAAGTGGGGGCTGGTACAGGGGAGGGAGAGGGTGTGTGTGTGTGTGAGTGTGTGTGTGGAGGAGGCTGGTTAGGAGGACACTTGATGCCAGGAGCTGACAGCCTCTGCTGCTTCCTGCATGTGTGACCTCAGACAAGTTCCCTTCCCTCCCCTGGGCTCTTTTTCCTCATCTCTAAAATGGGATTGACCCAATCTAAGGGGTCTGATGGGAGGTTTAGAGGTGTGGGTTTGTCTGTCTTAGGTAAAGAACGGAAGGCCTGTGACTTGGTGAAGGCCTATGGGGATGGTGAGGAGGGAAGGAGCTAAAGACCATGTGGCAAGGGCTTCCCTCACATTTTGTAATCCTTGCACCAACCCTTCAAAGTGGGTGTTATGGTTACTCCCGTTTTATGAGGAGTAAGGAGATAAGGATTCTGGGACTCACAGTGGAAAACTCAATCACCTACAGTTGGTAAGTGGAATCCAGGCCATGATGCCTGCAGAGTGGAAGACAGTCCCTTCCACCTGCCTCACTGGAGTGCAGGGAGGGACAAGGAGGTGGAGGTGGTGCTCGTAGCCCAGGTGGTTTGCATTCCACACAGGCGCCATGGGGGTGTGGCAGGCACTTAGGTGGGGATGGTTCCTGAGTGGGGGCCTGTGTGTGCTTGGTGGGGTCCACAGGGCCCTATTGTGGTCTAGCAGCCAGGAAGGGAGGGGACATACTATCAGGTTTGGGCTCTGCCAGCATCTTTGGGTAAGCCCTGTGTCAGCTCTGGGCCCCGTGTCCTCATCTGTAAAATAAAGATGTTGGAGCAGATGAGTGACCTGTTGAGGTCTTCCTGGTCCTAATGACCTAAGACTTCAAGATCAACAGAGTTCTCAAAAAAAAAAAAAAAAAGATATTTACTTTTTGAAAACATAGTATACTCCTATGGTTCAGATTCATAAAGCACTAAAGCAGTTCCAGTGCTCCGCTCAGTTCCCCTTCTTGGAGGTGACTGTGTTACCAGTTTCTCCCACAGAGATGGCAACATTGTCATTCAGTACTGAGTCCCAAGAAGTCCAAGGATGGGGAAAGACATAGAAACTTGTTATCAGGGATCCCTGGGTGGCGCAGCGGTTTGGCGCCTGCCTTTGGCCCAGGGCGCGATCCTGGAGACCCGGGATCGAGTCCCGCGTCGGGCTCCCGGTGCATGGAGCCTGCTTCTCCATCTGCCTGTGTCTCTGCCTCTCTCTCCTTCTCTCTCTGTGACTGTCATAAATAAAAAAAAAAAAAAAAAAAAATTAAAAAAAAAAAAAAAAAAAGAAACTTGTTATCAGACTAGGATGGAAGTAATCAGGGTGGGCTTCCTGGAGGAAGTTTTTACAGGAGGGGAATCATCTTGGGACAGGAAACATATTACAGAGGAGGGTCATGTCCCAAACTGAAGTTACCATCTTCCCTCCCAAACCCGTCTGGTGTGAATGGCACTGTGGTCAGCTGCACAAACTAGAAACTGGGGAACAACTTAGCTGCCTGGTTCCCCCTCACCAGACCTAGCCAGTGCTGCCTCCTTAGCTCATTCCATCTCCAGCACTGTCCAGACTGCACGGTCCCTTCTGGACCTCCGCAAGAGCATCTTGCCTGGCAGCCCTGCCACTTCTCACACAGAAGCCTGGAAGATCTCCCCTAGGTGCCCCTTGGATCACGCTGAGAAGAGTGAAAGGAGATGGGTGCTCTGATGTGGGAGGTCCCAGGAGCGACTCTGCCTCTCTGCTCTCCTGAGGCTTTCACCCAGCAGGGAGCCTGGCCCGTTGGGCAGAATCACAGAAGCTGCATGATTGAGCCACCCGGGCGTCCCCTAAAAAGATTTTATTTATTTTTTAATTATTTATTTATTTATGATAGTCATACAGTGAGAGAGAGAGAGAGAGAGAGAGAGAGAGAGAGAGAGAGAGAGAGGGAGGCAGAGACACAGGCAGAGGGAGAAGCAGGCTCCATGCACCGGGAGCCCGACGTGGGATCCCGGGTCTCCAGGATCGCGCCCTGGGCCAAAGGCAGGCACCAAACCACTGTGCCACCCAGGGATCCCCAAAAGATTTTATTTTTAAGCAATCTCTGTACCCAATGTGGGGCTTGAATTTACAACCCTGAGATCATGAGTCACATGCCCTACACACTGAGCCAGCCAGGCATCCCTGCACTTGTAATTTAGACAAGTGGTGTCAGATTGTCCTGCAGAGGAGTTATACCAACTGACACTCCTGCTGGTAATGTATGAAAGGGCCTGTCTGTGATGATATATTTGTTCATGTGACTATTTGGTGGTTTCTCTCTCCAGAAGGTTGTAAACTCCTGAAATTAAGTCTCTCTTGCTCATCATCATAGATAATGAATGTTGAATTAATGAATGGGTTCACACTTCTACCAGGAAGGGATGGCTGGAGTGGGAGGGATCCTTTTGTCTTCACCTTGCCGAGCCCAGCCTCCTCTATTCTTACTGTACGGTTACTGTTCATCCAGACAGTGGCTGAGACCCTGTGAGAAGTTCTGGAAGAACCTAATCCTGACATCTGATTCATGGCCCCCACTCCAGGGCAGCCCTTTTCCTGCTGTGAAATCAAGAAGTCCAGGGTCTCAGTCCCATAAGGAGCTTGGAAAATGAACCCCTATCTAATGCTTGAATCCCTAGCCCAACCTCTGCTTACATACTGCCAGGAACAGGGAACTCACCCCTTCCAAGTGACTCCTTTCAACTTCAGACAATAACTTTTAGAAAGTTTTTCCATCATTGAATTGAAACCTTGTAGCTACCTCCTCTTCAGGATATTCTAACTGTGGCCTTCTGGAAACGGGCTTTCTGGCAGATGAGCAGTGGGGGAGATTCGAGGACAGGTACCCCTCATCTATCTTTTTCCAGCAAGTAGAGTCAAATTCCCAAAGAAGCTTGGCAGAGCCCTGCCTGTCCATCCCCTCACTCTCTCCTGTCCTGTCCGCAGGTACGTGCAGGAAGGACGGTTCCGAATTGAGGAGAGGACACTGACAGCCTTCCAGTGGCTCTACAACCCACAGCAGCATCGCATCCTGAGCCGCGCTGACCTAGAATCTCCCTCCAGGTAAAGGGACCCCCAGCCATTACTCTCCAAAGGCAATACTTATGCAGCCAGCTTCATACTGGTTGTAAATCTGCAGTGGGAACCACTGCCTTTAGAGTTAGAGGAACCTCCCAGGGTTCTGGAAAGAGTGTGTCAGCCTGGGTACTTCTTCAGCCTAGAAGGCACCAAGTGATTTGAGGCAGCTCACTACCTCTGCTTTCTTCTCTGTGAAATGGGTATAATTATATATTCCCTGCCTTCTATCAGGAAGATCATGAGTCTCAAGTGAAATGAGGGCTGCAGAGAATCTAAAAGCCTAGGGGTCAGTTGGTTCCTCTTTAAGAGGGAGAGTGGCTGGCAGATTTGCTGGGCAGCCTCCTCACCTATCCTTGATGTAGGTGGAGGGAGCCAGCCCTGCCTTCCTCATCTCCTCCTGCCCTCTGTTGTGGTATTCAGCTTGGAGTCTGACTGAGGGGTGAGAGAGGAGGGATCTTCCTGGCCCAGATTCCTGCTCCTAGGCTCCTGTCCACTCTTCCACCACACTGGACAGATATGACAAGCATTAGCAGTCTCCACAGAGATCCTGGGCAAACTTGCTGTGGTCTCACCCCTTCCCAAGGCTTCTGTTAGACCTGATCCTGAACCTTACTTCCATGTTCGCCCTCAAGACCTCTTTGCACCAGCTCCTAAATTAGCAGGACCCTCACAGCCAAGAATGAGCAGGCCTCACCTCCCCGGAGTGGTTTAAATGAAAGAAGAGTGGAGGTGGTATCATTTGGGGGGCTATATCATGGGCTGGCCAACAAGAGTACAGAGGTGATATTCTACTGCTGCTCCCCAGCTGACCCTAGGAATAAGATTTGGAAGTCAGTGGGTGACTTCATCTCCTAGATATCTGCCAGGAATCCAGTTTAGCTAAGAGCAGTGCATCTGCTCCCTCTTGTCTCAACAAGATTTCAGAAGGTACAGGAAACAGTGAGGTGGCTGGGTACTCTCGCTGTAGATCTGATACTCTGGAGGAAGAATTTATTAGATGATGTTGTAGAAGTATCAAAAACTCTGGGAAAGGTGACTCAGGCCACCTGGGAACTCTTGGTAGTCAGGGAATGGGTAGTCAGACAAGCGCCCTGGACTCCACAGGATGGATTTCAAATAGTGTAGAGAAAAGACAGAAATTTCCCTAGAGCTTGAGGCAAGACTATTGGGAAGGGTGCCAAAATGAAATTCTGGGTTTATAGTGGTGAATGCTTGCAGGGAAAAAGAAAGAGGCTGCTGTGGCTGCCCTGGGAGCATGCTAGTGACATATGGACACGAAGGGCACATGGTCGGGTTTAGTTGCAGGCAACATGCAAAACCCTATTGTATGCCATTTGCCATCTGACATAATAAAGTAGCTTCTCCCTCACCTTTTCTTCTTCAAAACTCTTGCCATTATTGGACATTATCTTGTCCATTTGTTCATTGTCCCTGACAACACCCCCTCCACCCCCCACCTCCAAATGTAAGCTTTATGAGAGCAGTGCCCTTTTCAGCTTGCTCTCTGCTACATCCTAAGGTCATGTTTCAGAGAAGGAGTTGATTAAAGAAGTATTGGGGGGAACGACAAATGAACACAATGCAGGCTCACCTCTAGGAAGGCTGGGAGAGAGGCTAGCCTCTCAGACTCCAAGACAGGTTGGCCAGCTCTACCTGCTCAAGGTAACGACCAGGGAAGAAGAGGAGATGGGACCTCCTGCCCATGCAGGTGGCCTGAAGCTAACAAAGTTGCTCTGCGTTCTGAGCCAAAGAATGCAAATGTGTTTGAGAGTCACAGGAGTACAGCTGAGTTCTTGGAGGAGGGAAGCAATCATGAGACAGGATGGAGCTATTTGAAATAAAATCAGCTTTCATACTTGGGAAAGCTATATCCCAAGGAACTTGAAGGGGAGGCTGCCATACTCTGTGACTGTACTAATTTTTGTGACAATATTAACAGCTAATTTTCTGAGTGCTTATTATGTGTCATGTGTAAATACTTTATAAGAATAAATTGATCTGGGATCCCTGGGTGGCGCAGCGGTTTGGCGCCTGCCTTTGGCCCGGGGCGCGATCCTGGAGACCCGGGATCGTGTCCCACGTCTGCTCCCTGCATGGAGCCTGCTTCTCCCTCTGCCTGTGTCTCTGCCTCTCTCTCTCTGTGTGTGTGACTGTCATGAATAAATAAAAAAAAAGTTAAAAAAAATAAAAGGAATAAAATCTTTAAAAAAAAGAATAAATTGATCTAATCTTCATAACAATGCTCTGATGTAAGTACTATTGTTCTCCCCATTTTTCAGATGACCAAACTGAGGCACAGTGAGTAAGTTGCAGTGCATATAATCACCATGCACACTGCCTCTCAGAGAATAAGGCATTTACCCATAGGCAGGAGGTAGCTGAGATAATATCTATTTTTACAAAGAGGAAATAAGTCCAGAAAGCATAAATAAGGAACTCAGGATTCGTCCTGAATGAACATTTCAGGGTTCATTTTTATTTTATTAAAATTTTTTTTTATTGGAGTTCAATTTGCCAACATATAGCATAACACCCAGTGCTCCTCCCGCCAAGTGCCCCCTCATTGCCCATCACCCAGTCACCCCAACTCTCTGTCCACTTATTTTATTTTATTTTTTAAAGATTTTATTTATTCATTCATTCATGAGAGACACAAACACACAGAGAGGCAGAGACACAGGCAGAGAAGCAGGCTCCATGCAGGGAGCCCGACGTGGGACTCCATCCCAGATGTCCGGGATCACGTCCTGGGCCGAAGGCAGTGCTAAACCGCTGAGCCACCTGGGCTGCCCAAGAGTTTATTTTTAAAAAGACAGTTTGGAGAAGGAAGAGGTGGATAATCATCAGCAGCAAGCAAATTCCCTGAGAACCCATCCTGCTGGGGGAAGCTTATTCGCTTTTCTGATTTGTTTTCTAGACTAGAAAGTAGGTTGGAGGTGGTGGAGCAGAAGACTATGGTTCTGAGTTTGATGAGCAGGCTTCCATTGGCTGCTGAATCCTGCTCCACGTGTTTATGAGTGGGTTGTTGAAGAAGGATCTGGTGAGCTGGTGACAGTGCTGATGGTAGGAACCTGGGCACCAGCCCAACAGGCAAGATGGCAGATTCGGGACCCAAATCTAGTAGGTACGGTTTAACAGGGATGGAGAAATCTATTCTGGTCTCCAGTCCTGCCTATACCTGGGAGAGAGACAAGGGAATCAGCTGTCTGAGGGGTTCTGATTGACTAGAAGCTTGGGTATGGCCCCATGATTTAGGTTTTAAGAAAATGCTTGCATCTTGGGGATGCAAGAGCTCAGGGCAGAGTCTGAGGGCAGGGGAGGGAAGGTCTTAGTCTCAGACCCTAAGACGAAGGTTCCTTCATTTGTTCTTTGCCTGGTGGACAGGGACTGAATACCTTTCTTCTGCTAACACTGTGCCAGGTATTACCCTGGAAGGGCTGAGCAGGGTGCATTTCAGGATGATTGATAAAGCTGCTGAAGGGACTCAGACCATGGGCTGGCCACCTCTGCCTTCCTTTCTTCCTTTCACCCTGGGTCAGGCCTTGCTGTTGCAGGGTCTCATTGTAGGCAGACAAGGATTCTGCTTCCGTGGGGCACATACTCTACCAGGAAAGAAGGACCATAGACACACAGACAAGAGAAGTTCCTAGGACCATCAGTGTGCCTAAGGTGCTAAAACAGGGCATGGAGAAAGGGTGACGTATGTGTGTGGGGGGGTGGGGGTGGGGTGGGGGTGGGGAAGAGGACTTTGGATGAGGTGGAAGGCCTCTCTGAGAAGGGGACATTTGAGGTGAGTCCTGAAGGACACAAGGGGGCAGGCATATGGAGAAGCTGCTGGTGGTGGAAGGGGTAAGGGGACACAGGAGATGGGATGGAAAAGAAGAGCGGGGCCGGGACCAGCAAGGACAAGGCCCTAAGTGCATTTAGAAGCAGAAAGCCATTGTGGCCAGAGCAGAGTGATATTGTGGTCAACAGAGACGCGAGGCAGATTTCCATGAAGCCAAGCAATGGCTTTTTAGCACTTAGATTTGCCCGAGGACGGCATGTGCTGCCCCCTGAGGGAGTGAGCTTCTCATCCCTGAGGTATACCAGCCACATCCCGGAGGCCGCCTGGAGAGCATGTTACCAAGGAAAAGACTAGGCATCCCAAAGGCTGCCAGGGGGCCCCTTCAAATTCAGGAGCATCCTTGGCTTGGCGGAAGCTGGGAGGAAGCCCGCGGAGTGGACGAAGGGAGCTCCAGGCTGCTAGGTACAAAGTGGGGGCAGTTTCGGGGGTTTGGCAGTGCTAGAGGCCTCCTCCTCACCACCGCACCTCCTCCCTAGGCCCACCCCACGCAGAGCTGGGGAGAGCCCCGGAGCGTCCGCCTCAATAGACCAGGAACCCCGGGATCTTTCCGCACCTCCTTCCCCACTGCCCGGGGCCCCATCCTCCAGAAACTTCTGTGGGCCGGTGGGCTGTTCCCTCCTCTCCCCCGGGTCCCTTGGGCGCGCGCCTGCCCCGCCTCGCGCCTTTGTTCCCGAGGAGCCGCCTCGGGCAGTTTCCCAGCGCCGGCGACGAGCGCTTCCCAGCTGGGGGCTCGGCGCTGGGGCCCCGCCGCGCTCCCCCCACCCCCTCCCACCCCCTCGGGCAGCTGCGCGGCGGCGGCGCTGGGCGAGCCCGGCCGGACACCGCGGGGACCAGGGCCGTGCGAGCGGGCGGGGGCGGGGGCGGGGGCGGGGCGGGGCGGCGCGGGCGGGGGGCTCGGCTCGGGGGCGGCTGGGGGCGGCTCGGCGCGGGGGCGGCTCGGCGCGGGGGCGGGGGCGGGGGCGGGGGCGGGGGCGCGCCCGCCAGGTGCGCGGCGGCCGCGGGGGGCGGAGAGCGCAGCTTTGTGCGTTCGCGGCCGCGGGCCGGCCGTGCGCCTGTGCGCGCCCCAGTGACGGCGCACGCGGCTGGGCGGGCAGCGGGGGAAGCCCGCCGCCGGGAGGGGGCTCGGTCCGGATGGAGA